TGTTACTGAGGCACTGAATTTTGTGAAGGGAAACGTGGACACGTGAGTGAATATCATTATTGTTGTCGAATTCTCTCTGCCAATCAGTAGTACTTACCGACATGATAAAATCAGTCTCTCATACCTCATCGTGGAGCCTGAATGTAATATAAGTGATCACCGGTAGTTTGGGTATATTGGTGAAAAGGTTGGGTAACGATCAGTAGTATTGTCAGTGATTATGCTAGCTTTAAGAGAAGCTGATATGTTTGTCTATATATGATCAAAGAAAGTTGCCCATGGCTCATTAATACGTGTTGGCTTTATTATTCAGGGATTGTTCAGGGCATTAAAAAGTCAGTTGAGTCATCTGCTTGAATGAGATTTAATATGATTAGGTCACTGAGCCTTTTCCGGACATGACTATGTTGCTATGTGGAGTTCTGTAGACAGTACCTATTGATATTCTGGCACTTATGTTACTAGTTGTAAACTGAGTAAACATGTATTCCCCGTGTTCATATCTGGTACATGATGAATTTATGCATTGCATCTCATTGGAAGAGTATATTGCAGTGCCACTTCCTGTTTGATCTGGTCTGCATTTATATTCGTAGATGGTTGTGTGTCTAGATATGTTATAGATGTTGTATTGAGTCATATTTAAACCAGGTTTCTATGATAATAGTGAAAGTTAGTTTAGCATGTGACTCAAGGACCCAAGGAGATATATTATCTGGGCCCACCGCCTTCGAGGTATCTAGTGCCCCTAGCAGTTTCTTCACCTCCTCCACGGTTGTGTGCAGTGCTGGCGCACCCTACCACCTCGGTTTGCTGGAAGCCTCTCTGTCTCCACTGTGAATACCTCTCCGAATCGCGAGCTGAGCTCTTCACTTCCTGCCCGTTCCTCGTTAGCTTCCCTCCTTCCTTCACCAGCCTGATGACTTTGTCCTTGACTTTTGCTTTCCTCCTGATGTGGTTGCATAACTTTGGGTCAGATCTGCCTTTTGATGCTATGTCATTCTCGTATTGATGCTGGGATACCCTCCTTATTCATGTATATTCATTTCTGGCTCTTCGGCTCTACTCCCTGTTTTCCTGGGTCCTTTGCCTTTTATACTTTTCCATACTCTGGCAAGCTTGGCTTTGGTTTCACCATACCTGGTAAATCTGGTCTTCCCGTTGTTTCTGTTGCCCCTTGGTACGAACTTCACCACTGCCTCCCTGCACTTTGTGGTCACGGGTTTCATCATTTCATTTTCTGTCTTTCCCTCTAGCTTGTTTACCCACTGCACCTCATGTAGGAATTTCCTCATACTTGTGTAGTCCCCTTTACGGAAGTTTGGCATCTCCCATTCTTCTCGTGCTGCTATACTATGCACTGTTCACTCTATGTATTAGAAACTCAAGACCACGTGATCATTAAGGCCTAGAGGACTTTCGTGTGTGATCTCACCTATGTTTGAACTGTCAAAGGTGAATACAAGGTCCAGCCTTCCTGGTTCACCGTCTCTCTTTCTCTCTCTCTCTCTGGGGGGGGTGTCCCTAACATGTTGGTTGTGTGTAATATATATATATATATATATATATATATATATATATATATATATATATATATATATATATTATATATATATATATATATATATATATATAATTTCAAATATAGGGAAGTACCACCTCTATAGCTGGATTGGGGACCCTCATCCTCAGAGAAGACAATAAACGTAACTCAGGGAAAACTCAAGGTTCTTCCCGGTGCTGTTTGAATATTTTCTTCTCCTACCACCCCTTATATATTTTATATTCTATGTGAACATTTATTGATAAACAGAATACACGTGCAGAAAAACACAAACATGAATACAATGGAACAATGTATTAAAGATCATGAATTTCCTCCAGCTCCTCCAAAGCCGGATACGAGCCAAGTATGCAGCAAGCATTTTCCCTCTGGATGGCTACGCTGATGCGCTGGAATGAAAGTGGCTACCCTTGGGTCCCTGGTGGTGTCGATGAGTCTGGAACCCAATTCTTTGAGGAAACATGTGGCATTTTTTCCCCACGATCCCAAGGTCTCTGATCCCACTGGGACAAATTGATACTGTTGGCTTATGTCCCTGTACTTGCTGATCTTGTACTCCTCCCTGTGGTCAGCAGCTCCTCTCTGTCGGCCAACACTGTGATGGATGTAGGCGTCAGCCAGTGTGGACACACAGGTTTAGTCCCATGCTAAGAGCTTGCCATTCTTCCAAGGATAGATGGTGATCCCATCGGGGCGGTTTGCTGGGTTGTGGATATTGTTGGCGCTAGTGATCGGGGCTCCCTCTCGGCTGGGCATCCAGCTGTAGCAAGGGTTCTCTTTATGATGTCGTTGACCTCATTGTGTCTTGCATGCCAGCCCTTGGTTTTGGAACAGTTAAGACCATGTAGACCGTATTGGTCTGCTTGCGCTTCACCGCAAATACACATATATTCTGTGTGAATTGGGGCAGCAAGGCGCAGAGCCACTGCAATACGGAGGGTCTTAGGGTCGAGTCGCGTTCCCATTGCCGATATGGGAACTGTTTGGAGGAAGTCCCCGGAGTGATGTGCACTCACAGCCTGGAGAAGGGCAGTCTCCCTATCTGATGTTGCAGCCCTGAGCATGTTGGCAAGCACCTTTTCAACGATCGGGCCATCCCAGCTTGACTGTGAGCCAGTGCTGCACTAGGGCTTGGTGCTAGAGCAGCAAGAGTCTCCCATATATATATATATATATATATATATATATATATATATATATATATATATATATATATATATATATATATATATATATATAATATATATATATATAACGTACCTCTCAATCCACAGCTGAAATCAAACCTGCAAACTCGGCATTAGAGTACACATTACTTTATCCACAACGCTCTGATGCTGAATCCGGCTGTACACTGAGAGATATTTGTAAATAATTTCTCCTGTTTGCGAATTGTTAAGTATACATGTATATATATGGAGAGAGAGAGAGAGAGAGAGAGAGAGAGAGAGAGAGAGAGAGAGAGAGAGAGAGAGAGAGAGAGAGTGAGAGTGGGGAAGTGGGGGAACGGAGTTAGGGGGGATGGGGGCAGACAGCGAGAGTGGATGTAAGATGTCTTTGATGTATTGGCTAATTGGACACGCCACTGACGTAGCCTATTTTCACATTATTGTCTAATTTTGCCACATTAAAACTGCATTAAAGAGTTTTTGATCCATTAGATAATTTGGCTTTTCGATTGGCATCAACAAACTGCAGAATACTTGCATATATACTGGTATAAAATCAACGCATCACATTTCATTTATGATTGCTAATAAGCTTATTTCTTGTGAATTATATGAATTTTACAAGCCAAGAGATAGGGCGCCTTATGAAGGGTTATGAAGAGTTATTATTGGATAAAATTATATAGCCTATATAGGGGAATTAACTCCCCCTTCCTTTCTAATATTGTTAAATTGTCCTAAATCCCGTTAAATAATGGCGTAAGTTTAGCTAAAATTTTACGTTGGATCAAGAAGTGGACCCCTCAAGGAAGGCTCCTTGATGCTGGTGAGGGGCTCTTGATCTAGGGAACTGGATCTGTGCTCCAGTTCCCTGAATTATGCCTGAATACCTTCCATTAACCCCTCCCCCCCGACATGCGCTGTATAATTCTACGGGTTTAGTGCTTCCCTCTTGATTAAAATAATAATAATCAAGAAGTGGAAGACTCTACTAAGCTTATTTCAACTCCTCTTACATTTCCACTCATAATATAATCATTTCTTTTAGTTCATCATAACTTTTATAGGTTGAGGTGTAGGAATGGAAAAGATGAACTCTAGAGGTAGTATTTGAAGAGCAGATCCTTAAGAATAAACCACAAAGAACAGACACTGAAGGGAGAACTCATGAAGAATCTCTAAAGAAGAGATCTCATGGGGCAGACCCAGAAGATCAGACCCTGAGTAAACAGTGTGAAGAACCCAATTCTGATTAATTTACCCTATGAAACCTACTGTGAAGAACAGACCCTTATTAATAGACCTTGCAACTCAGACTCTGAAGAACAAATCTCGAAAATAAACACAAAGTAGAACCTGACCTAAATAAGAGTTGTACTAGAACAGAGCTCAGATAACCCGCATATAGGAGAGAGAAGTTTATGACTTAGACCATTTACAAGTCCCACTGACACACGAAAGTGAGGGAGCCAGTATATATAGGCGAAGAGGACAGGGACGGGACAAAGAGAGGAAGAATGAAGGAATTGGAGAAGTGGTAGAGGTAGTGCTGGTAGTGGAAGTAGCAGTGGTGGTGGTGGTGGTGGTGATGGTAGTCCACTTAGATTACTACTACTCCTCGGAAGAACAAACTCTGGAAATCAAATCTCTCAAACAGACTAGAAAGAACGGCTCTGTGAGCTTCCTCACGAAATCATAACATAATTCGAAACAAATCAGGGAACGGGTAGGGGTTTGAACCTACGGCAATTGAATCCTAAAACTCACAGCCCAGTGTGTTAACCTCTAGCCCATCTGGCTCTAATAAGATTATTAGAGCCAGCTAGCTTTTGAGTTTTAGGAAACACTTTCCCTGGGTTCAAGTCTCACCCGTTCCGGGATTTGGTTAGCTCTATAAGAAGAGACGCTAAAGAGCAGTATAAGAAAATTATAGGCACAGTGACGTACCAATATACAACTAACAGACACTGAAACTGGAAACTAGTCGTTTCAGTCAGCCCTAGATCATTATCAAGTCATAGCAGAATAATGGTACAAGACTACTGTCAAGTCGCAAGAAACAAAGGGACATAGACTATTAGCAAGTCTTTGTCTGTTAATTGCGGCTTCAGTGTTTTATCATTCAAGATGCAGGTAATCGAAAAAATAATAAGGGTCCTGGACCATAAACAGGTTATAATTTTGATCGAGGACAGATAGAGAAGGCATCTAGTTTCCAGCTGCGCTTTGTAGGTATCAATGAACCTGTGAGAAATTCTGGCACTTACTTGGTGTGTGTTGGGGGCCAGCACCTCCTGTCGTAGGTAGTGCAGGAGTGAGGCACCTTGCCCACCCGACGCAGTGCCAGACGCAGCCGACGAGAGTACTTGAGGATGTTGACTGCCGTGTCGTGGGTCACCGCCAGGAAGCTCTCTCCGTTCACCTCCAGGATCTGGTCACCTACCTGCGAAGAGGGCAGTAAGTAAGGGAAAGATAGTGAGGGTTTTGAAGTGAGGATGAAGTAGGGGATGGTCTTGAAATAATGGAAAGTTAGCGTATGTTTTGACGAGAGGTCTTCAAGTAAGGAAAAGGAGTTGGGTATGAAGACCCAGCTTGTTCAAGCTCCAGTCATCCTTGAGACAATAAACATCGTAATGGTACAAATGAGTCTTCCTGCCTTAAATGTTGCAGTTCACCACAAATAATAGTTGTTTTTTTAAATATCGAAATTCAATACGAACAATAGGTCATTTGGCCGCCAATGATTTTAATTTCTGGTTACCTACCCACACCTGCTCGAGTCTAGCTATAAACGAACATGTGTTAGACCATCCATCTTCGAAGTGGGGAGCAGGTACTTCTTCAGGTGGGTGCCATTAGTATTTCAAATTCGAGCCTACGTGCTCATGCTTTTGCTTGCTTCCTGGTTTCTTGCCATCTTTTTTCTCTTATTGTTGTGAAATTTTCAGCGTTAGGGCTAAATGTATTCGCCAGAGGTTTAATTAAAATATGACAAACAGAAACCCGTAACTGTTTTATATGATGATAGTACTGCTGGTGTCTTTTTCTGTCTCATAAACACGCTGGATAATAGGTATATCTTGCTACTTCTACTTACACTTAGGTCGCACTACACAGGCATGCACATGCATATATATACACACATCTAGGGTTTTCCTCTTTTTTCTAAATAGCTCTTGTTCTTCTTTATTGCCTCTCTTGATCATTGTGAAGTAGAAAAGAATCTTTCCTCCGTAAGCCATGCGTGTCGTATGAGGCGACTAAAATGCCGGGAGCAATGGGCTAGTAACCCCTTCTCCTGTAAATATTTACTAAAAAAGAGAAGAAAAACTTTATAAAACTGGGATGCTTGAATGTGTGTGGATGTAGTGCGGATGACAAGAAACAGATGATTGCTGATGTTATGAATGAAAAGAAGTTGGATGTTCTGGCCCTAAGCGAAACAAAGCTGAAGGGGGTAGGGGAGTTTCGGTGGTGGGAAATAAATGGGATTAAATCTGGAGTATCTGAGAGAGAGCAAAGGAAGGGGTAGCAGTAATGTTGAATGATCAGTTATGGAAGGAGAAGAGGGAATATAAATACGTAAATTCAAGGATTATGTGAATTAAAATAAGGGTTGGATGCGAAAAGTGGGTCATAATAAGCGTGTATGCACCTAGAGATGAGAGGAGTGTAGAGGAGAGAGAGAGAGATTTTGGGAGATGTTAAGCGAATGTATAGGAACCTTTGAACCAAGTGAGAGAGTAATTGTGGTAGGAGACCTAAATGCTAAAGTAGGAGAAACTTTTAGAGAGAGTGTGGTAAGTAAGTTTGGGGTGCCAGGTGTAAATGATAATAGGAGCCCTTTGATTGAACTTTGTATAGAAAGGGATTTAGTTATAGGTAATACATATTTTAAGAAAAAGAGGATAAATAAGAATACAAGAGATGATGTTAGACTACATATTGGTAGATAAAAGACTGTTGAGTAGACTTCAGGATGTACATGTTTATAGAGGGGCCACAGATATATCAGATCCCTTTTTAGTTGTAGCTACAGTGAGAGTAAAAGTTAGATGGCATACAAGGAAAATAGAAGCATCAAGTAAGAGAGAGTTGAAGGTACATAAACTTACAGAGGAGGCAGTTAGGGTAAGATATAAACAACTATTGGAGGACAGATGGACTAGTGAGAATATAGGCAATGGGGTCGAAGATGTATGGGGTAGGTTTAAGAATGTAGTGTTAGAGTGTTCAGCAGAAGTTTGTTACGGGAAAGTGGGTGCGGAAGGGAAGAAGAGCAATTGGTGGAATGATGCAAGGGAGAAAAAGTTAGCATATGAGAGGTTTTTACAAAGTAGAAGTGATGCAAGGAGGGAAGAGTATATGGAGAGAAAAAGAGAGGTTAAGAGAGTGGTGAAGCAATGTAAAAAGAGAGCTAATGAGAGAGTGGGTGAGATGTTATCAACAAATTTTGTAGAAAATAAGAAAAAGTTTTGGAGTGAGATTAACACTTTGAGGAAACCTAGGGAACAAATGGATTTGTCAGTTAAAAATAGGAGAGGAGAGTTATTAAATGGAGAGTTAGAGATATCGGGAAGATGGAGGGAATATTTTGAGGAATTGTTAAATGTTGATGAAGATAGGGAAGCTGTGATTTCGTGTATAGAGCAAGGAGGAATATCGTCTGGTAGGAGTGAGGAAGAGCCAGTTGTGAGTGTGGGGGAAGTTCGTGAGGCAGTGAGTAGAATGAAAGGGGATATGGCAGCTGGGATTGATGTGATCAAGATAAAAATGTTAAAAGCTGGTGGGGATATAGTTTTGGAGTGGTTGGTGCTATTATTTAATAAATGTATGGAAGAGGGTAAGGTACCTAGGGACTGGCAGAGAGCACGCATAGTTCCATTGTATAAAGGCAAAGGGGACAAAAGAGTGCAAAAATTATAGGGGAATAAGTCAGTTGAGTATACCTGGTAAAGTGTATGGTAGAGTTATAATTGAAAGAATTAAGAGTAAGACGGAGAGTAGGATAGCAGATGAACAAGGAGGCTTTAGGAAAGGTAGGGGGTGTGTGGACCAGGTGTTTACAGTGAAACATATAGGTGAACAGTATTTAGATAAGGCTAAAGGGGGTTTTGTGGCACTTATGGATTTGGTAAAGGCGTATGACAGAGTGGATAGGGGGGCAATGTGGCAGATGTTGCAGGTGTATGGTATAGGAGGTAGGTTACTGAAAGCAGTGAAGAGTTTTTACGAAGACAGGCTCAGGTGAGTGTATGTAGGAAAGAGGGAGATTACTTTCCAGTAAAAGTAGGCCTTAGACAAGGATGTGTGATGTCACCGTGGTTGTTCAATATATTTATAGATGGGGTTGTAAGAGAAGTGAATGCGAGGGTCTTGGCAAGAGGTGTGGAGTTAAAAGATAAAGAATCAAACACAAAGTAGGAGTTGTCACAGTTGCTTTTTGCTGATGACACTGTGCTCTTGGGAGATGCTGAAGAGAAGTTGCAGAGGTTGGTGGATGAATTTGGTAGGGTATGTAAAAGAAGAAAATTAAAAGTGAATATAGGAAAGAGTAAGGTTATGAGGATAAAAAGATTAAATAACGAAAGATTGGATATCAGATTGGAGGGAGAGAGTATGGAGGAGGTGAATGTATTCAGATATTTGGGAGTGGACGTGTCAGCAGATGGGACTATGAAAGATGAGGTGAATCATAGAATTTGAGGGGAAAAGGGTGAGCGGTGCACTTAGGAGTCTGTGGAGACAAAGAACTTTGTCCTTGGAAGCAAGAGGGGAATGTATGAGAGTATAGTTTTACCAACGCTCTTATATGGGTGTGAAACATGGGTGATGAATGTTGCAGCGAGAAGAAGGCTGGAGGCAGTGGAGATGTCATGTCTGAGGGCAATGTGTGGTGTGAATATAATGCAGAGAATTCGTTGTTTGGAAGTTAGGAGGAGGTGTGGGATTGCGTAAACTGTTGTCCAGAGGGCTGAGGAAGGGTTGTTGAGGTGGTTTGGACATGCAGAGAGGTTGGAACGAAACAGAATGACTTCGAGAATGTATAAATCTGTAGTGGAGGGAAGGCGGGATAGGGGTCGGCCTAGGAAAGGTTGGAGAGAGGGGGTAAAGGTGGTTTTGTGTGCGAGGGGCTTGGACTTCCAGCAAGCATGCGTGAGTGTATTTGATAGGAGTGAATGAAGATAAATGATTTTTAATACTTGATGTACTGTTGGAGTATGAGCAAAGTAACATTTATGAAGAGATTCAGGGAAACCGGCAGGCCGGACATGAGTCCTGGAGATGGGAAGTACAGTGTCTGCACCCTGAAGGAGGGGTGCTAATGTTGCAGTTTTATAAACTCTAGTGTAAAGCACCCCTCTGGCAAGACAGTGATGGAGTGAATGATGATGAAAGTTTTTCTTTTTCGGGCCACTCTGCCTTGGTGGGAATCGGCCGATGTGTTAATAAAATAAAAACATAACAAACAGGCACCTTGTCGTATGCTAGTTTAACGGTACAAGCATCCAGTCGTCATTTTACTGTAGTGTGATGGGGTTGCATACACCATAAAAATATCTTATTTGAAGATCTGTAGCTTACATGGCCCCAGAATATAGTGGACATCACAGAGATTTGTCCGAAACAAGATAGTATCGTCTTGTTCTCCATCAAAATTTTTGTAACTTCTCAGATAGGTAATTGAAAAAATAAGTACAAGTCAGTTGTGCCGGGCATAAAGCAGTTACACACAAACTATATAAAATCTTAGGACATAGAGATAATTGTAGGTGTAAAATACAATAAATTGTCGATTTTTTTTAATCAAAATAAAAGAGCATTCTGTTACCTTTATTACGAACACTTATGCAATAAAGCGAACAGAATTCTTGACTTCATATCAAGAAGTATAAATAATAGAAGTCCTCAGTCTTCAACTCTATATATCCTTGGTTAGGCCTCATTTAGATTATGCTGTTCAGTTCTGATCACCGTATTACAGAACGGATATAAATGCTCTGGAAAACGTACAAAGGAGGATGAAAGAGTTGATCCCATGGATCAGAAATCTTCCCTATGAGGATAGACTGAGGGCCCTGAATCTGCACACTCTAGAAAGGCATAGAATTAGGGAGATTATCATTGAGGTGTATAAATGGAAAACAGGAATTAAAGGGGATGTAAATAGCGTGCTGAAAGTATCTAGCCATGACAGGACTCGCAGCAATGATTTTAAATTGGAAAATTTCAGATTCAGGAAGGATATGGGAAAGCACTGGTTTGGTAATAGAGTTGTGGATGAGTGGAAGAAACTCCCGAGTACCGTCATAGAAGCTAAAACGTTGTTAGTTTTAAAAATAGGTTGGATAAATACATGAGTGGGTGTGGGTGGGAGTGAGTTGGACCTGACTAGCTTGTGCTACTAGGTCACATGCCGTGCTCCTTCTATAAATGAATGTA